TGCAACACTATAAATGAGAATATTTCACTGCCTGCACTGCAAAAGATACAGGTGATCTTTTCCAAACTCAATGAGGACCTAAAGCCAATTCTTATTGACTGCTGTTATGTCATCAGCCAGACTAAGTAAATGGAGCTACATTCTAAATTGTATTTTTGTCATTTATTTTGACAAGCAAATAATAGTTTAGTTTCCATCATCGTGTACTAGTTAATGAAAATAGTAGCAAGAAAGTAGGTTTGATTTCACCACAGAAAATGAGAAGAGACATTCAAAGAGACTTACTGGGTTTGCAAAAATAACAAAGGGAGAACTGATAAGCTCCTACCCCAGTTCTACTGCTCCTTTGAAAGGCAAATCAGGTCTAGTCCCAAGCATTTTGAATCTGAATACACACAGCAGAACTGAAGCCCTTGCATTACACAAACCAATAACCTCCAAAGGCAGGGGATCAAGGACTCTTATCTCCAGTGCTCATCTGAGACTGAGTAAGGAAAAAGATGTATTTTATGCTTTATTATTCCACTCTATCTAGATTCCACAGACTAATTCACAAGAACTTTACTCAGAGAAGCAAAACAGAAGAAAAACTAAGATGGAAGCATTAGGAAAGTCTACTTCAGTTAACATTAGTTCCTCCCATATATTCTGGATTTTCACACCCTTACCTGGAGTAGCACTGGAGACTGTTGGCCACTGCTGATCAGGCCCTCCTGGTCCTCCACGTAGGACTCCTGCCTCCTCCATATGCACAGCACTGAATAAGCATATATCATAGTTAGATTATACAGTTCCCCTCTGCCCTGGGCTTTATAACATTTCCCTCTCTTGCTGCTCTTCAAAGTTCATAACTGCTTGTCGCTCTGCAACTACTCTGCATGATGCTAACAATTTCTGCTGGGCCATTGGAGGACTAGCTATTTTGACCTGCAAAAGTTATCTTTGATTATTTACTAAAACACATTTGTGGCATAATTTATAAAACAAACGTACCTGCAGGACACTTTGCTTTCATTGACTGGAAGTCGCTAACAAGGAAGTTACACACCTTCTTTGCTGTTATGATGTATTAGCATTAAAGCAAATGGTAAAAAAAATGGTGGAGTTAGTTCTGAGCTTCTGTCATTGTGCTACTGCAACAGATCCCACCTTCCTGGGTTACTGCATGCTTCTCATGAGCAATTCAGAAAGAGAAATACGTTTTCTCAAATGCAGAAACTAACACAGCAAATTTTACAGTGGCACATCATGAGCACTTGGCCTTGAAAGCACCAATTTTGCTATTATCCACCACCTCAAATGGAAGGAAAAGAAAAACTCTGCTACTTTTAATGCAAAACTAGGCATGTATTTGTGAGTAATTCCTTAGAGAAACAGGATTCTGTGACTCGTCTTTGCTCATCTGCTTCTCAGCTCCTTTACACACTCCCAGTTGAACTTAATGGGCAGTTTCAACCAAATGTGACAGATGTCAAGGGTCCTATGGATACTAAATTTCTACAAGCTTTATAAAAAACCAGCACTTCACAAAAATTATCAGCTGGACTGCAAGGGCGGTGAGGCACTGGAACAGGTTGCTCTGGGAAGTTGTGGCAGCCACATCCCTGGCAGTGTTCAAGGCCAGGTTGGATGGGGCTTTGGGCAACCTGGGCTAGTGGAGGGTGTCCCTGCCCATGGGGGGGGTTGGAACTAAATGATCTTTGAGGTCCCTTCCAATCCAAACCATTCTGTGATTCTATGAGAGGTCACACAGGCTCAGAACCTGAGATTTCAGGTAAGGCAGAGGGTTGCTGATGTGAGAGAACAGAGGAACACATACAATTTCCTAATAAGGCTTCCTTAGCTCCCCTACTTGTGGGATGAATTGCTTTAAATGAGCTCTGACTTTTCATTAATTGTTCAAGTAAATTCAGGCCAGATCTTGAACTTTGTACAGAAAGGAATGTGAATCCACAGGTGGGAATACACAAGAGCATGCCTGACTCTGAGGAAGGGTAGATAAGATGCTCAGGTAGGCAAGAGAATTCCTGCTTCAGGATCCTGCTCCCCAGATTGTTTATTCATTTTGCAATGAGCAGTCAGGGATTTAAAGAAAAATAACAGCAGGAACATAAAAGAAAGAAAGCAGTTTGCCCAACAGGCTACAGAATCAAGCTTGCTCTTTCTTCCTTTCCTTCTGGTCCCTCAGGTTTAGGTTCCTTTTTACACAGCAGCCCAAAGTCAGCTGGAGAGGTACACTGTGCCCTCACCCACACGCAGCACAGTTTCAGGGATGGGCAGGCTGAATCTGAGTTTTGGACTTCAGCCTTACGAAGACTCTTCAGCCCTGTGGATAATGGATAAAGGTGATGACTACAGTCCCATTGCACCAACAATCTGGGGAAAAGCATACCGTCCTGCACTTTGTAGTGCTACTTAGGAGCTACTGCAGCCTTATAATTGTATCTAAACCTGCAAGGTAGTCTTACTAATCATGTCAGATTACACCTGAATATATAACAAGTGTTCTAATCTGCTCAGGAAGGGAGAGCAAAGATACTATTTTATTTAGGCTCTACAAAAACACCTTTATCATAATTCTTTTTTTTCCAGGTATACTGAGCACCAAATTATAGCAGAGACCACTTGTGATACTAGGCAGAGGACTTTCAAAGATGTCTAAAGAGATTTGGACACAGCCTCACTTCTTCTTTGAAAATCCGTCTCATCTCTTCAAAACGCCCTTTAAACTGTCTTAATCATATTGATTGCACCACATGGTTAATAAACCGACTGCAGGAGCAACATACTTTTATGGTAATGAGAGACATGAAGATGGAAAACGCATCAATGCTGCAGAGTCTACTGAAACATATCAGCATAGATGATTAAAGTAAATACAAAGCTTAAAGTAAATACAAAGTATATAATCACAGTTAAATAATTCAATAATTGGAGCAATTATGCCTTGACAGTCAATGTATAAAAAGACAGGAGGTAAACACAAAAAAAGCACAGATCTATGGTAGTATAATAAGCAGAAGATGTAGTCAGACTGAATCTGTAACACTTGGAGATTGGAAGTGGCAGCAGCAGAACTCAGGTGCTTTCCATCTCAGTGTACAGATATCATCGGTCTAGTGCATCAGAGGAGCCAGCTTTGTCCTTTTCACAGAGGACAAAGACAGAATTCTCCTTCATGTAGGG